GAAACGTAACTGACCTGCCTAAAAATACAAATAGAAAGACAGGCAATATGAGGCCAAGGCACAAGATAAAGTCCCAGAAGAAGAGAGAAGTGATGAGGAGATAGGCAGTTTATCTGAGAAAGAGTTTAAAGTAATGATGGCGAAGACGTTCAGAGAGCTCAAGAGGAGTACAGAGAAGTTTTCAGCAGAGTTGGAAAATGTAAAGAACACCCAAACAGAGCCGAAGAATAAAACCACTGAAATGAGTAACACGCTAGACGGAACCAAGAATAGCCTACAGGAGGCAGAAGAATGGGTCAGTGAGCTACAGGACAGATTAGTGGAAATCACTACTGCAGAACAGAAAACGGAAAAAAAAAAGAATGAAAAGGAATGAGGATAGTTTAAGAGCACTTTGGGACAACATGAAGTGCTCTAATATTCGCATTAGAGGGGTCCCAGAAAGAGGAGAGAGAGAGGACCTGAGAAAATTTTTGGAGAATCACCGAACATTTCCCCAACTTGGGAAAGGAAACAGTCACCCAAGTCCTGGAAGCGCAGAGAGTTCCACACAGAATCAGCCCAAAGGGGAGCACACCAAGGCACACAGTCATCAAACTGACAGCCATTAAGGATAAAGAGAAGATACTAAAATTAGCAAGAGAAAAGCAACAAATAACATACAAGGGAGCTCCCAGAAGGCTACCAGCTGATTTTTCAGGAGAAACTCTACAGGCCAGAAGGGAGCAGCACAACATATTTAAAGTGATAAAAGGGAAAGACTTACAGCCAAGAACACTCTGTCCGGCAAGGCTCTCGCTCAGACTTGACGGGAGAAATCAAAAGCTTCACAGATGAACAAAAGCTAAAAGATTTCAGCACCGCCAAACCAGCTTTACAACAAATGTTAAAGGACCTCCTCTAGGCATCAAGCCGTAAGAAAAGAGGAGAAAGGAGGGGAGGGGGGAAAGACCTACGAAAGATCACGTTGGCTGCTGGGGTCTTTTGTGGTTCCTTGTAAATTTTGGACTTGTTTGTTCTAGTTCTGTGAGGAGTGTCGTGAGTATTTTGATGGGGGCTGCGATGGCGCTGTGGACTGCTTTGGGCAGTGTGGCCATTTTGATAGTGTTGATTCTTCCAATCCGAGAGCACAGGTGTCGTTCCATTTCTTTGCGTCATTTCAGTTTTCAGAGTACAGGCAACCTCCTTGGTTGAGTTTATTTCTAGGTATTCTGCTGTTTTTGATGCAATGGAAATGTTTATGCCTGTTATAAAATTCTGGGTTTTGAAGTGGGAAAAAAGTGAATGAAGGGCCGCAAATGGCAGAATACCCTTCCTTCCTACGGGCGAGTTGTGTTCTGTTACACACACATGCTGCGTCTTCCTTATCCATCCATCCACTGGTGCGCACTGAGGAAGCTTCCCCGTCCTGGCAGTTATAAATAATGTTGCTGTTAGCAGGGTGTACACATCTTTTTGAATTAATTCTTGTTTTGTGGTTGGCTTTATTCCTTTGATAACTATGTAAGTTTAAAAAGCTAAAGCTCTAAACGTTCTTAGAAACAATGAACAGTGCATATATGTAAATTTAAAAATATACATGGAGTATATAGTGTATATGTTTACATGCAAGACATTGTATATGTGCAGTCAAACTAACAGTTCTACCTAGTAAAACTGAAAAATGAGGAAAAGGTACTGGGAAAAATGGACAGCTACACATAAAAGAATGAAATTAGAACATTTTCTCATACCACATACAGAAATCAACTCAAAAGGGATTAAAGATCCAACTGTAAGACCAGAAATCATAAAACTAGTAGAAGAAAACAGGGGGGACACTCTTTGATGTAAATTGTAGCAATATATATATTTTTTAAATCTACTAAAGCAAAGGAAATAATAGCAAAAATTTTTTAAATAGGACCTACTTAAACTTAAAAACTGCACAGCAAAGGAAACCATCAGCAAAACAAAAAAAGACAACCTACTGAATGGGAGAAGATATTTGTAAATGATATGACTGATAAGGGGTTAATATCCAAAATATATAAACAGCCAAAGCAGACATACAAGCGAGCAACTGGCACGTGAAAAGGTGCTCACCACTCATCATCAGGGAAATGCAAACCAAAACTACACAGTGAGACATCACCTCGGACCTGCTAAAGTAGCTATTATCAAAAAGCACACAAATAACAAATGTTGGTGAGGAGGTGGAGAAAGGGAACCCTCATACACTACTGCTGAGGGTGTAAATTGGTGCAGCCTCTGTGGAAAACAGCTTGGAGGTTCCTTAAAAACTAGAGTTACCATATGATCCAGCAGTCCTAATCCTGGGCATATATCCAGAAAAGACAAAAACTCTAATTTGAAAAGGTACGTGGTACCCCAAAGTTCAGAGCAGCACTATTTACAGTAGCCAAGATATGGAAGCAACCTAAGTGTCAAACAGGCAAGTGGATGAAGATGTGGTGTGTATATGCAATGGAATATTACTCAGCTATGAAAAATGAAATCCTGCCATTTGTAGTGAACTTGACAGACTTAGAGAATGGTATGCCTAATGAAGTAAGTCAAACAGAGGAAGACAAATATTATA